TTGATACATACATGTGATACATTGATACATACATGTGAATGTGATACATTGATACATACATGTGAAGGTGATACATTGATACATGCATGTGATACATTGGGCAACGATGTATCACAACAGTCATTTCTGTGAAGGAGACAGGAAACACATTTTTCCTGTCAGTATTCAGCCAGTTAAAGGATGTGATTAGAGAGACCTCTCCTGCAGGATGTATTGATTGTAGCCTGTTGTAGTTTGTGTTCCTGTTTGATGTCTCAGGACTATTTTAAAATGTGCAGCGGACAGCGATGAATACACAGGATAAAGATGTGGATTATTCCCATCCTTTGTAATGCAAATGTTGGTGCATACTCATTGTTCCTGTAGCTCCTCACTTATGCATACAATTAACATTTGTGTCACCAGTTTTGCCAAAGTGATGGATGATGTTAAAGTGAGTTTCACAGGGATGCTTCCGGCCTCTGACCCCACTGCTCACTGCTGTGACATGTATCCATACATAAATCTTTGCCTATAATGCTGCAGGATGAGAGCCCCCCAGCATGTAACACTGATTATGCATTGTGACATGTGGCTTAATGGGCTTCTCCATGCCAGCTGGCCTCTGTGCAGAGCAGGGTCACACTGATTGAAGCTGTTTAACCCTTTAGTTATGTTTTTGGTTTCAGGTAGTGTGGCGTCATTTCACTGTTTATCACATCACAGCATTTAAAATAAACAATAATAATAATATTTTATTTCATACTTCTTTTCGATGGTGTTGTTGTAAATTAAAAGAAAGAAACTGTCTTTGGGTTTCATGTTGTTTTTTAAAGCCAGTGGTTTTACTTATATTTGCTGTACTGTGTGAGTCCTTTGCAGCGGCGTGCTGACTGTGGTTTGGTTGCAGATGGCAGTCCGCTTTCGTGGTGGCTGGACCGGGAAGGAGAAAAGAGGAGCTACTGGGGAGGCTTCCTGCCTGGAGTTCAGCAGTGCTCCTGCAGCCTGGAGGAGAACTGCATTGACATGAACTACTTCTGCAACTGTGATGCTGACACAGACACATGGTACAGACAGCGCACACATGGCTGCTTTTATTCACGTTATGAACACTATTCTGTATCCTGTAGGTGAATTATAAAACTGCTACTGCAAAAAGATTTAAACAGCTACCAAACGTTAAAGTGAACACAATCAAAAATTATGATAAATCATTTAAACCTCACGTTGATGTAAAAGAGTCCAGTGCAGCGTTCTAGATTTAGGAAGCGAGACCTTCTGTTTCATCATTACATCATTTGCATCATCACTGGATGTGTTGCACACACTGCTCTGCCTTGGAAAGCTTCTCGAGCCTCCCTGGTTTTCTGATAAAGGACTTACTGCAGCTTCTTTGTTGACTGCAGATGGGCCAGTCGACTCCCAGACCCCTCACTACAGCTGGAGAGGGTGTGTGTGTGTCTGTGTGTGTGTGTGTGTGTTTTCAGTCAGGAACACCTTTCTTGTGGAAGCTGCCCATCTTTGTACCTGGCGGCCTCTCCATCACACACAATTATTTTCTTATTGCACGTTTCTCAGCTTGTTTGTGTTTAAAACATTGGACATGTCGTCTCTTTAGCTGATGTCACACATCCGCGTTTTACAAAGACCCTACTTTTTTGTAGGAGGCAGTGATAATCTGATCCACACTGATGTGAGACCACAGCTGTGTGTAGGAAACAGAAGGACACATGAAATAATGATAAATGGATGGTTTGTCCATGAACTGTGAGACAGACCATGTGACTAACGAGTCGCCGTTGTGCTCCTCCCAGAGGGAACACTACCACCACGAGCAGCTCAGGTTCCAGGATTTTGTCGAAATTTGTCTGCTAAAAATGAAGCGAGTAGATCATACAGTGTTCAATGTCATTTTCACACTCGGATTTCTGCAGCTCATTATCTGTTTGGGATTGTGTGAAAATGCCTTTGACAATTTCGTATAGCACAGTTTAATCCAAAATGATTAATTACAGCTCATACATAATATTTCACTTTTGATTAAACTCATCATCGTTTCTGAGCCATGAATGAAGAAACAAAGGCTGTGCTGGAGTTTAAACATTCTCAATGGCTTTGTTTATGCTGCGTTAATCCACTCCAAAGCCTTCCTGCTTGCAGCTCCATGTTTTCACAGGCAAATGTGTGCTCTGTAATAGATGGTTCCCTTTATGGGGTGTTTACCGCGCGCTCTGTGCTAACGGAGCTGAAAGTCAGCCTTTATCTGGACCCCCATGAAAGAATCGGGCCCCTGAGGATTGGTGTATTACTATTTATTCGGTTCTTTTCTCTGTTCTGTCACAGGGCTAATGACACAGGAGTCCTCTCCTACAAAGACCACCTACCAGTGAGCCAGATAGTGATCGGAGACACCGACAGAATGGGCTCGCAGGCTGTCTACCACATCGGCCCTCTGCGTTGTTATGGAGACAGTAGGTGATCACCTCACTGTTGAAGCTACTGTTCCAGATTTGGCTGCAGATGGAGGCTGATTAGAGACACAAAATGTTCACACAATGTCTTTGCGACTTGTGCTTTTATGTTTGTCGCTGGATCGAGAGTTAAAGCCTCATCTGTGGTGCAGTCAGGATCACAGAGATTTCAGTTCGCTTCCAGTAAATATCTGCAGGTGTTGCAGAGGGCTGGGGTTTGATTTTGTGCTGCTTGTCTTAGAATTTAAGCGTGCCAGCTTCCCCCATCCCCCGCCCCCCAAATAAGTCTATTTTAAGTGTAATAGCAGCTATCAAAGCTTCTTAAACACATCAAACGTCTGGCTGATGATGTATAATGCATGTAATGTATAAATTATTTAGAGGATAGCTACAGTGTTTCAGACCCTGTGATGTCACCTATTGTGTGCCACGTACGGTCGCTGCACGTTCACCGATGTCTTGGATTATTTGCTTTTCGATCTTCTCTGCAGAACCAAAGTATCTTTTAAAAGACTGATTTTCTTTCACAGAAATTTTTGATCTCAGTATTTCAGCAGCACAGCATCACATGGCAATGAACTCTCCTAACAAGAGTTATTGAGTTTTATGTGCTGCATTTGACTGAAAACCTGCTGGTGGAAATAAGACTCTGCAAAAGTCACAGGTTTTACACTGATGAACAAAAATGTCCTCGAGATGCAGCGTGACACAGCTTCTCCGCTCACCGCCTCCTCCCTTCACTTCGTCATCTTTACGTTCTTTTCGCTTCCTCCTGTCCTTCCAGGGTCGATATGGAACGCAGCCTCTTTCTACCAGGAGTCGTCGTACCTGTACTTCCCCACCCTACAGGCAGAGCTGGCGTCTGACATCTCCTTTTACTTCAAGACCAGCGCTCCTTCTGGAGTGTTCCTGGAGAACCAGGGCCTCAAGGACTTCATCAGAGTCGAGCTTAGCTGTGAGTGCACGTTGTGTCTACAGTATGAGACGTGCAATACACACAAACTACAAACAAGAGCAGTTCAGTCATAACTGGGAAACATTAGCTTAAGGTTATGTTTAAGCTGTGTTTGACCTGATTCTGGTAATAAACTCATTGAACACAAAACAACATTTAGACAGTGGAATAAATTAGAGGGTTCGCACATGGACATGAGTGCATGTACATACACACATGTGTGTGTGATAATGAAAATAACACTGTTTTTAACGACACCTGCTTAAAGCATAACGTGCAGCCTGCAGGTTGCTATCAGAGCAGAGCACTGTGATGACACGTGTAGGTTTGTGAAGTCACGCCTCACTGTGTCATCATATGGACTGTGTGTGGAGTAAAGTGCAGCACGAGTGTACGGTTAAAATGTGACTCTGAGCCGTAAGACTACAAAAGCACCGTGTACATGCAGGGTGGAGCGCTACGTAACGAGCTGATCCAAGCGGGCCAAACGTGGCTGCAGGGTTCAGGAGAACCCTGCTTTTTAAGATGTAACATTATTTAATAAAACGAATAAATGTGACCAAAACCACAAGTGAAAAACTCATTATTGGAATAGTTTGATTAGCAGTCTGCATCCATAAATACAGCGCTAACACCTCGTTTGTGCTAATAAGCGTAGCCGGGGTAAGTAGATCATTTTGAAGACAAACTATAGAAACAGCAGCAATGTCTGAAACTGCTAATGATTTAGAAATGGGTGACTTTGTAGAAATGGATTTAATTAGTGAAATTAACAACTTGTTAACATGACATGACCATGGTGGTATTGCTTATAAACCACCCTGGTTACCAATCAGTCTGTGATTATGACAGTGTTGTACCCACGTATTAGCACAGAGCGCCTCCTAAAGCCTGCTGATCAGTCTCAGGTGGACATGCTAGCTCCTGCTGACAGTTTAATTTCCCAGAGAAGCAGCGTGTGAGGACTCCACTGAATGATGTAATCCTAATGACACACGCAACAGTAATGTCATGCTGTCACAAAGTCCGCTCTTCGTGACCTGTACAGTGACACCTGATGCGTTCACTGAAGCAGGAATGAATCAGATTGACTGTGGAAAATTTAAGAAAATCAGGATATTAGTTCATCTTAGTACGCAGTGCATATGCAGCCATCACATGCAGTTCCACAGCGCTGTGTCATTAGCTAAAGGTAAGGTTGTTGATTGCAGTGTGTTGCGTTCACATCCTATCTGGAGGAATGGTGAGGATATTTGGAGCCATTATGTATGAATGCAGCATCAGAGACACTGTGAAATATTGACGAGCTGTCAGCTGAGCCGCTCATAAATCTATGCAGGTCATCAGGTTCTCCCAGCAGCATTGTATCAGATTGCATCAGAAAGGCAGGATAGAGAAGAACATAAAAACCTAATATCGCATTCAGTCTGACCTGAATGTCGTGTGTGTGCGTGTGTGTGTGTGTGTGTGTGTGTGTGTGTGTGTGTGTGTGCGTGTGTGTGTGTGGCTCCCAGCTCCCTCAGTGGTGACTTTCTCCTTCGACGTGGGAAACGGTCCGGCGGTCCTGTCCGTGAAGTCCCACGTCCCTCTGAATGACAGGCAGTGGCACTACGTGAGGGCGGAGCGCAACGCCAAGGAGGCCTCCGTGCAGGTCGACCAGCTCCCCCTCCGCTTCCTAGAGGCTCCGGCTGACGGACACCTCCGCTTACGGCTCAGCAGCCAGCTGTTCGTAGGTAGGCTGAGATCACACCCAGTCCACTACTCAGGTCTGCATTAAAGGACTTTTAAACAGGCAGTGCAGAAACATGTAAACATTCCTTTGTAGAGAAATGCTCTCCCTGGGTGCTCTATTATGAATACATGTTAACTTCTCATACATGCAGTTATCCAGTCAGCCTGCAGCAGTGACCCCTGAGGTTTCAGGTCAGCAGGTTCAGGTAAAGCTGTGGTACGAAGTCATTTTTGGCTCTCGCTGGTCAAACTTTGGGCATATCGTTATTCACAGAGCCTGAGAGGAAACGTCCACACCTTCCTGTTTCATAGAACAACGCTGCCGTCAGAGGCTTCGTGTCACTTGTTTTGCTTATTTGTTTTAATGCTTTGCTAATATCAACATGGAATAACTGGTCCGTAAGCAGGTTCTGTATAAAGGTGGGATTTTCTGGGATGAACAGCAAACTAGGAGAACTCCGGGAGATGGAAAAACAAGAGAAAGGGAAGTTTCACTTTATATTTTTACCCTGCTCAAGTAAATCTCAATAAATCTTAAGAAAGTACTTGTGTTGCACTGTGCATTCACTCATGAGCTGCTGTAACATGAGTCACATGGCTGGACTGCCTCCTCAGCGTGCAGTCAAGGCTTGCTAATGTTATTCAGGTGTGTTGCAGCAGGGACGACGGCCCTCGAGCACTGGAGCTTTGCACCTCTGACCTGAGCTTAGCAATAAGCCTGAATTCATTTAGTCACTGTTCATTTTGATTTCTTGAGGTCTTAAATGTCTTAAAAAGCATTGATTTAGGATTTTTCAAATCCTGCAGAAATCCTGGAGGGGAGATTACTCCTGCTGGCTGTTCTACAAGTGCAGCTGGAAAGGTGGGAAACCTGGTTTAGTGGCAGCAAATCATGTTACTGCGACGTGGCAACAGATATCGTCTCTGGCTGTTGAAGACACGACATGCTGTCAGACAGCAAGTTGCATCGTTATGAGACAAGTGTGATAAAAGCATGTCGTTCCTGCTGTGAAATACTCAGATGTCATTTCTATATTCTGAGCTCACAGATGTGAACTTTTGCCAATAATCTAGCTTTTCGCTAACTGAAGAATCACTTCAGCTTGTGGACTGCAGAAGTGTGCATATCAGTGCTTCACTGTGTGAGGGGATTAGGACAGAGAGGGCGGAGCTGCCTCTGATGCCCACAGTAAACGCTGCATTCATCCTGTTAGTTTGATCTTTTACTTTGACCCGACTGGGCTGAGTGTTGGTGACACTGGTAGTCTTCACCCCGTCTCCAGGGCTGCAGCCTGGCAGCACGGTGGTGTAATGGTGATGTTCTCTTTGATGCTTGTGTGCTGTTGCTGATACTGAGCACTGAGTGTGTGCAAGCACAGCTAGTAGCTGCTGAGCTTTTTTGAATATTACAAATATATTTGTAATTAAACAGACTTTTGGATAAATGTGTTTTATATCTGCTCATTTATTTATTTTTCTAAAATTGTTGCTAGACTTGCTCTTGTGTCGTTATCGTCCATGTTGCTTGTTATCATCATGGTTTGGGGTGTCTGTTAACTTCCTGTTTTATTTTGTACATACTCTACCTCCACCTTCGCTCCCAGTGCATCTTGCTCTGCTTGAAGTGTCGTTCTAGCCGTTTCCTTGACAGTTCGTTCAGTTCACAGAGTTTTTCCAAGTCGCTCCTTGTTGTCACAGCTCAGGTGCTCAGCCTTTCCGCTACCTGGAAATCCATCTTTGTCACTCTCGAGTGGTCACCTACAGGCTCTGCTGCTCACAGCTGCAGACATCGCCCTCCACCATTTTTGATGGATGTCTGGACTCTAGTCTGACTGTGCAATGACACAATCTTATCTTTAACTTCTTTTTGCATCATTGTGCAAATGATCCACTTGCTGGAGTGTCACTTGTTTTTGCTTTTCTGTAAATTCTTTGATTTTTTGCCCCCTGCTGCCATCAATGAATCATTGTTGCCCCAGCAGATGCTCCCTCAGTTCCCTTTGTCACGTTCCACTTTCTCTTAGCAGTGCCTGGCATTGAGCTTTCCTTGTGTTTCCTTGTGAAATCTTTGCAAAAAGGATTTCATCCTTGCAAATCAGCCCCTTGCCATTTTTCTCCCCTGAGTCAGACAGATGTGTTTGCATTTTGCTCTGTGTCTCGTGTCCTGTACTTGGGCCCGCACCCTGTGGATCGTTACAGCTTTAGGCCCAAACTTCATGAAGCTGAATTGAGCTGAAGTGAACATGAAGCTTGGCGGGGGGGGCGGGGTCGTCTGACAGCAGCGTCGCTGTGTTTCCTCTCGATGTCCACTCTGACAGTCACAGGAAGGATTTATCTGCTCACAGCCAGGATGGAGAGGAAATGTAATTACAGCAACAAAAGCTCTTTAAATACACATACATCATCGGAGTGTTATATTAAGATCTGCATTGCTCTGCTGTTAAGCCAATTTCAAATGTATTTTATTGTTTTTTCATGATTGGTCTTGGTCAGCGAGCGTGTCTGCTCTCTTCCTCTCATATTTCTGCAGCAGCCGTTCACACTCTGACATTTTAATCTCTCTGCTTAATAATAAAGAGAGATCCCATTAAATTCTGTTTTTTCCTCACCTAATGGATCGTTCACCTTCTGAAATCATTTGTTAGTGAGAGGACAATCGATCTTCGGTGGATCTCACAAGAAAAACATTATCTTTTGAAGATTTAATTTTCATAAAGCGCAGAAGTGATGTTGAGTTTGGTCTCATGCTAACATGTGACTGTGTCTGTGAAATGTCGTTTCCTGCTCTTGTGGGAGGAGATAACAACACTTCACAGAGACAATATTAGAATGAATATTAAAAACAGCAGCTTTGATGTTTCCAGACAAAAATAACAGCCTTGATTAGAAGCTTTGTAAATATAAAGACAGTGTGTGTAATCATAAAGAAACAATGTGTGATTCTCTGTTTCACGGCCTCGCAGGAACATCTGTGAGCTTCCGCTGCACGTCGTGGAAAAGGACTGATGTGCAGACTTTGAGTTCATGGACCTTGCAAAATCCCCAAAGCTCGACTGCAAACACTTTCTAAAGTTTGGCCCAGAGTTGGCTCACAGCTCGCTCACAATGCTGCAGAGACCTGAAGCTGGTGCTGTTTTGTCAGATGAAGCTGAGAATCACTTTTCTTTAGTTGTTCCTGTAAAGTGTGGCTGTGGTTGTGCTCTGCATAAAACACGTGCGCCTAAGTTTCAGCTTCAAAGCTGAAAATCCAACTGTGGATATTTGGACTTTACATTTTGCCAGGATGGACGTTTTTAATCGCTGATACAAAGATGAGTTTATATCACACTGCCCATGCAATCGCTGTTTTCCATTATTTTATCCATTCAGCAGCTTTACAGGTAGATGTTTGCGCAGTGTTGCCTTCAAGGTTCAAACATGTCAAATTTATGTTCCCAATGAAAAGTTTCACACACAGATAGAAAAATGGAAAATGAAGGCTTAGAGGGAGGAGAGTATTTACATGAACCTGATACTCGACACGTGTTTGTTAAAGCACTGGGATCCATAGAGTCCATTCACTCAAATGTTGTTGCTCTGTTTTTCAGTCGTGTGCTAAACTCGCTGAACGTTTGTCACGTCCTCCACACAGGCTGTACTTTACATACTAGTTCTACTTTTATGTCATCATGTTCAGATTACACTTTTATTAAACTGAATGAAAACAAAATGCCTGTAAGAGAGTTGGCAGCTTCTAAAATTGTGTTTATTTCAGATGCTGCTGCTCACTGCTGAGCTGGCACGTGTAACCAAGAAGCGTAACAGTTACACTGTTGCCAGTTTAAGGTTTGAATCCTCCGGTCAGCCCAGTGCCAAACACACAGAGTCCCACAATGTCAGCATGTGCACAAAAGCTAACACAGCTCCCACCATCACAAACATGCCTTATTTCACCAGAGATTTCACCTGAGGCAGCTCATTACGAATGCCTGCTATATATATATAAATATAGGCAGAGCCTCAGTCGATGTGGAACAATACAGGATTTAACAAGTATCATCTGTCAGCCTCGGGGGATCATGAAAGGAGATTATATTCACACATTTGTATTTTTATTTCTCAGATAAATTATTTTCAATCTCAAGTCATCCGTCTTCCACCTTCAGAAAGGAGAAATTTGTCACGAGTCATATTTCTTCTGTCCTGTTTCGCCCACAACACCTCGTCTATCAAATTATACATTTATATATCAGTTTGGTGATGTTTCCTGAACGCGCACAGCACCTCTAAACATGCAACAGTGACCCCTTTATGAGTAAGGTTTGCGTCCACCTCTGCGTGTAGCGACCTAGCATATCCACGTAGCTCAGGACAGCCGAGCTCTTTCAAAGGCCATTTTTTCTGCTTTCTGAAACTTCTTTAGCGTGTGGCTAAAACACAAGCTCATCTTAACTTCATCGCTGCGTAGCTCACTGGCGACTTCGTGGATTTAACATTCAGTTTTAAACGAACCCTGATTTTAAAGTTGCCGCAGGGCGTTATACCACCACATCACCTGTGCATCCTAAATGTGTGTCTCAGGAGGAACAGCGTCCCAGCAGAGAGGCTTCCTGGGCTGCATCAGGTCTCTGACCGTCAATGGTGTCAGCTTCGATCTGGAGGAGAGGGCCAAGATGACGCCGGGAGTGAGCGCCGGCTGTCCCGGCTACTGCACCGGATCCAGCAGCCTCTGCCACAACCGAGGGAGGTGCGTGGAGAAAAGCAACGGCTACATCTGTGACTGCTCACAGTCTGCCTACGGAGGAACCACCTGCAACCAAGGTGAGTCCTTGGAAACAACCGTGCAGGCTGCGTAATTCATTTAATTGAATGATGTTGATTCTAACAAACAGATGATCGATCACCGTCGAGGTTATTCCATTACAGGGAACCGATAGCAAATGCAAGTAATGCAGAAGGCAATTAATACCTGTCCTGACTCCAGCTCCAAGAACATTTCAAATGCATTAGAACAAATTATCTCGTGCAGTCTGTGAGCAGAGAAGAGAGCAGACACAATCACAACAAAAACCCATCAACAGCCTGCACAAATAGCAGAGGAGCAGGCTGTGAAAACAAGCATATGGATGCAGTACAAAGAAACAAATTGAATATACATTCTGTGGGAACAGAGATGAAAAGCCTGGCTGCAAATATGCCTAATCACAGAGTACAATTTACGCTGCTCTGTCCTGTCTGGAATGTTAACCTGTTCGCTTCAAAGATGCTGCTGGTTTCTTACAGCGAGCCGTGGTTTGGCTGTTTCTGCAGGCGTGGTTTCAGCTTCATCTCACTCTGCGTGGGAGTGCGAGCTTTTTGAAGCAGATTTTCAAGCACTGTGTATTCAAAGTTTTGTCATGTAGAAACAGTTTAAATGCAGTGCTGTTGCATCTGAAAGGATCATTCCTGATTATTTAATGTTGCCGCGCTTCCATTGTGTCTCTATTGCTGTATAAGTCACACTAACGTGTGCTGCAGACGTTCAGGGAAACAAAGTCACACTAACAGTTTGTCACTGAAAGCTTTTTCCTCTCTGCAGTGTGAGTGAAAGCAAACAAAGAGCAGACATTTAGCTGCATCCCCATGTGCTCGCCAGCTGACTGACATATTCATCTGCACATGCTCGTCTGTTCTCAGTGATAGTGATACTTTGAGTGCGTGCTGGAGCTCTAACCAATGAGCTTCTTCTCCTTGCTGTAACAGCTTTACCGATCACATGGAAATCTTTGTTTTGAGTAGTGACTGCAGCAGCTTGAGTTTCGCGCTCTCTCAGGATGTCCTGTTGTCTCTCCCACTACATTTAGCTCCTTCTCTGTCCTGGTAATGGCCCACTGTGTAACCCCACAGGTAGATGTGGTGGCAGTGACCCATCGCTTAGTAAAGTTCTGTCTTCAAGCCTCAAGCAGATCCTTTTGGTGTGTTAAAACAGGAAGTGACACAGAGCAGATCTGACCGTGAAGCAAAGTGACGCTGGCCCCTCCTCACAGCTCGTCACTTACATGGTCAAAGGCGCATGCTGACTCCAGGGTCCATCAGTTACAAAGTGACGTTCGTGTTGTATCAAGTAAGACTTCAAACCAGAAGCTGAGAATATTTTCATGTATAAATCAGGTTTTTGGAGAACTGTTCATTTCCCTGAGCCTCCACAACACGTGGTCCCTACAGATACGACCCTGGGAATCAAAACTAAACTACTGCAAAATCACCTCAGTTACATAAATCAGAACTAGCCCTAAAGCACAAAGACTGAAGGAATACAAAGTAGCAGTATTGATTCATTTTATCCATGTATATCCTGTCTACCATAGAGTGCATGTTGCGTTCGTGTTCAGGAGTTGCAGAGATTTAAATGAAATGCTTCATGACAGAACGGAGCCAGTTTCATCTTCTGTTCTTTACTTAGTGTAAACGCTTTTGTTGAAAGCCGGGCACCCAGCAATGACATGCAGCTGAGCTGCCGCTGACTACAGATTATCTGCTTCAGTGGTGTGTGCTAGCAGCAGAGACTGTAGCACTGCTGACACACTCACTGCTAACGTGTCGCTGCAGCAGCAGCACACTGAGATGGTGGGTAGACGCAACGCGGATCTCATCCCACCCACTCTCCAGCACGTTCTGCATTTCATATGAGCGTTAAGTTATGGTTTGCTCTGGCTTTTTAACCCAGACAGTAAACAAGTGAGCAGCGCAGCCTCAGCACCAGGTGCTGCAGTCAGGTCCTCTCAGGCTCCTGCAGACGAACCTGGTTCCAGCTTGTTACTCGTCTTTTCTCGAATGAGTGAAAGAATCAGCTGAACGCACACTGATTGAAATGCATTCAAATATGGATTTTAAAGCCAATATCACTATGTGATTGGATTATTAGTTAAGTGTACATAACAATTAATAGAAGCTTAATTTGATTAATAGTTAAAAACAAGTCTGGTGTTCAGTTCATCCAGGCTTTTGCTGCAGCGTATCAAACAAACACAGTCATGAATAGAAAGGTTTAAAAGGAAACTTGGACACATATATATATTTATATGTGTGTGTATACATATATCTACTGAAACGTAGGCAGTTTTCATTAAGCATGAAGGTATTTGGGAAACTGTAAAACTGCAAATGTGATCGTCTTCTTTTTGGAACCTGCTCAAATTCCAGATTTCCTGCAACAATAAAAGTTCAGTGAAGCTTTGATGAAGTTAATGCAAACAGTTCCTGCAGGTAATGAGCCACACACTGGTGCAGGGGAACCAGACGGTTCTTCTGGTGATGGAAGACAAACATAGTGTGAGGAGTCAAACCACTTGCAGCTGGTCTGAGGGCAGACGAGTGTAGGTGTAACACAGATATGAACTGTTGCCCAGTGACCACACTGTGACCACACTGTGACCACACTGTGACCACTCTGAATATACTGAATGAAAATCAAATAATACTGTCAGTGAACATTTAGTATTAATAATGCAAATGCAGTTACACTGCAGTGGAAATTCATATAAATGAAAATGTGATAATAATGTAAACGTACCTATTAGCTACCTGCTAGCACTGAGTGAGCAGCCTTTATACATTATTGTATGTCTGCACCTCATAGCTTTAATAAAGTGAGCACGGGGAAGGACACTGTCGACCCTCCTCACTGTGCTTCGCAGGCTTGTTTTACGGTTGTATGGTCGAGTGTGAGAACTGCAACAGTTTTACACATCAAAGTTGTTTATAGGTCTCTGGGAGTGAGGCTGCATTTGTGGGAGAGAAAAATATTTGTGGGCACAGAGGGAGCCGTGTGAAGTCTGATAAATTGCCCCGAGTGGTGAAAACAGCACGAATATCATGAAATACTAGAATGAGTTTTGCTGCAGCCTTGCTGTGCTGGATGGACACTGAAGCTGGGCTATTTTTAGGTAAGCAACGAAATCCAGTTGATACTGAATAAACCACATCTGAAGGAGCTCGCTGATTTTGTCTCGCTGATTATTTATTGAGTTATTTTTCTTTAAAGGCTGAATCAGCACCTGAAAGCGTCTCTTCTGTTTCCCCGTGTCTGCACAGAGGTGTCTGTGTCCTTCGACAGAGAGTCCTCCGTCACCTACACCTTCCAGGAGCCCTTCTCAGTGATGCAGAACAGAAGCTCTCAGGCCTCCACCTCCTCCACGGACAGCAGAGCCAGAGAGGACGTGGCCTTGAGCTTCGTCACCTCCCAGAGACCAGCCATGCTGCTCACTGTCAGCACCTTCAGCCAGCAGTACATCGCTGTCATCCTGGCCACAAATGGTACGTACAGGAATCACACGTGGAAATGTTGTAGTTGTGCAAGCGTGTTCTTCGTGAATACAAACTTTAAAAACACGAACATGCTTCTCGTAGGCAAAGAAGCCGTGCTGAATAACATCCTGGTATCTGAAGAACTACAGCAGTTCTTTCACAGTATGGGAGGAAATATTTGTTTTGACTCTGTTTTTATGAATCAGAGTTCACTTTGGCCCCGTAGCCCTCTGACTTGGATTCCTGTGTAGTTATTTTGAGTATGTGTTGACCACAGAGCAATCTGGGCTTTGTTCTTAAGAGCATCAAGAGACAAATGTTTGTTTTACAGTCCAGGTGGGGAATTTTGACACGTGAACAAAGGGTGAGTTCAGCGTTCGGGTGGATTTCTCTGGATTTCACCGTATAACTGTAAATGTGGTGTCAACACTTCCCCTGTCACATGGTTCATGTCTTGATTTCTGGTTTGCCAGAGTTAACAAGTTGATTAGTGTAGTAACGGAGAGAAGAGAAAACAACAAGAGTGCAGCCTCTTCTGTCTCGTGCCTCCCAGAGAAGCATCGCACTCTGAATAGAGTCTGGGTTATGTAGTGGCACTAATGGGAGTGAGAAGAAAACCATGGTGCCATGCTGGGGCAGGCGTTTTGGGCCTTTTATTGATGAAACCAGCTGTGAATTGAGCGCTGCCACCAGGTCACTGTGTGGGAAACAGGGAGGACAGTAAAGCACAGCTTGAGGCAGGAAAATGGTGGTGGAGTTGTTGGAGTGGAAGGCTTGTACACTTTCTTTTAGAAATGTGTGCAAACACGGCACCAGTGTGCTCGGCAGCGAGGCTTTCTCCTCCTTTATGAGCTGTTAAATAGGAGGACGAGGTGATCAGCTGTGGGGCCCCTAACGGGAGAACTCGAAGGAAGAAGAGGAAATAATGCTGAATAGAAAACGACGGTTCTCATACTGTACATGTATCTGTGTGCTGTAGTAGTGAGTGTTAGTGGAGCCTAGCAGGCTGAGCAGTACAAACCTGTCGGTGCTCAGCAGCATGAACAACAATCACTGTGCTAACAAAACTACATTCATTTACTTATTTGGTGCATTTTAGCTGCATTTGTCAAAGCACACTCACTTTCTCGTGTCCACTTGGCCACAGATGCATCCACCACACTGCTGTAGGACTGAACCTATATGAATGGCAGCTGCTAAGTAATCAGCTTGTATATATGGGCAGAATATTCCTCGGGGGCTGGAACAGACCCACAGACCACCTCAGTGTGGGGTCCACCTGAAAGGAAAACTCAACAGCTGCCACCAAAGAGCTTTGGTTAGAAAACTGAATCCATAAACTGTACGGGCACAACACACACACAACTGCTAATTAGTGGTACGTAGCACAGTAATCAGATTACAGCTGGAATATCATAAAAACTGCATCTTATTGGATGGCCTGTAGTTCATAGCAGGCCGTATTATATGTCAGATAATTCCATTAAAATGCTCCAAAAGGCATAAACACAGTGGTGAGGCCAGCGAGGCCTAGCAGACAGCTAGCAGCTACAGCTGTCAGTCAAAGCAAGCACCAGCTAACTTTAAACACTGTCAGTAACCAAATGGAGCTATGAGAAAGTAATCAGCCTTGCATGAAGGGGAGAAGTGTTCATAGAGGCCAAAGCAGCTTTGTTTTTGTTGAATGTTGTTAACATGGAGTCAGAGCTCCACACACAGCCCAAAGACATGCTAATTACTCATCAAGTACCAATTGTTTAACAAATAAAATTAAACTGGCTGTAACAGTGGATGTTTGTGTGGCTCTGGGATTTATTGGTGACATCCCTGTTTGCAGCTCCCCACAAACATACACTGAACAAAAATATAAACACAACACCTTTGTTACTGCTCCCATTCCCCATGAGATGGACGTAGAGACCTAAAATTCATTCCAGATACACAATATAACCATCCCTCCCAAACAGTGGTCACAAATCAGTCCAAATGTGTGGTAGTGGGCACATCTGCTATATTGAGATAATCCATCCCACCTCACAGGTGTGCCACATCAGGATGCTGATCTGACATCATGAGTAGTGCACAGGTGTACCTCAGACTGCCCACAACAAAAGGCCACCCTGGAATGTGCAGTTTTTTGCGCTATTGGGGGTCTGGGGACCCAGAACCGGTCAGTATCTGGTGTGACCACCATTTGCCTCATGCAGTGCAACACATCGTCGCATGGAGTCTATCAGATTGTCAATTGTGGCCTGTGGAATGTTGGTCCACTCCACTTCAATGGCTGTGCGAGGTTGTTGGATATTCGTGGGAACTGGTACACGCTGTCGTATACGCCGGTCAAGCACATCCCGAACATGCTCAATGGGTGACATGTCCGGTGAGTATGCTGGCCATGCAAGAACTGGGACATTCTCAGCTGCCATCTGCCCTGAACAATGTGAACCATGATTCATCCGTGAAGCGCACACCTCTCCAACGTGCCAGACGCCATCGAATGTGAGCATTTGCCCACACAAGTCTGTTACGGCGACGAGCTGGAGTCAGACGTCTTGGAGGTGAACCTGCTGGATGTGGAGGTCCTGGGCTGGTTGGTACACGAGGTCTGCGGTTGTGAGGCCGGTTGGATGTGCTGCCATATTCTCTGAAACGCCTGTGGAGACGGCTTATGGTTGAGAAATGAACATTCAATGCACGGGCAGACAGATCTGGTTGACATTCCTGCTGTCAGCATGCCAATTGCACGCTCCCTCATTGCTTGTGGCATCTGTGGCATTTTGCTGTGAGACAAAACTGCACATTCCAGGGTGGCCTTTTGTTGTGGGCAGTCTGAGGTACACCTGTGCACTACTCATGATGTCAGATCAGCATCCTGATGTGGCACACCTGTGAGGTGGGATGGATTATCTCAATATAGCAGATGTGCCCACTACCACACATTTGGACTGATTTGTGACCACTGTTTGGGAGGGATGGTTATATTGTGTATCTGGAATGAATTTTAGGTCTCTACGTCCATCCCATGGGGAATGGGAGCAGTAACAAAGGTGTTGCGTTTATATTTTTGTTGAGTGTAAGTTAGATTTAAGATGTATGGCTGGATGCTTGTTTGTCTGTAGCTTTCTAACCCACGTCCTGTATTTGAGCACAGAAATCCTTTACTGATGGTTTAAGTGTCATCACCGATGAGAAAGGAGGGAAAAGGTCCGACACAGAGTTCAGATACTGGAAAGACTGGATTTTGTTTCCGGGCTTTGAAAAATGAGTTGCTATCATCAGATAGCACCATCAGATTTATGAAACGTGTGTAACCATCTTTAACCAGCCTGCACCAATATGCTGGTGAATCCGAATTATTCAGCAGCCTTTTAGACTCAGTTTGCATACTATGTGCATACTGCCCTGATGTTGTGAGAGAGAAATCTGCACCATCCAGGCAAAAATAAGGAGGAAGTCTGGCTACAGAAAATTAAATGATAGCGTCTGACGTCCAAGGAAGAACTCAGAACAAGTGCATTGTTGCAGTATAAATAGGACAAAAATGATTGTTAGTAGTGGGAGTAAGTCTCTAAAGTCTACGGCAGCCAGGCTGTCAGTTGTATCCATGGTCAGAGGGACGTCTGCATTTACAGGCAGGAAAATCTGGATAACTCCCAGAATTTCCATGAATGTTCTCGTGATTTGCACACGGCTGTGTGTGTGGGCACTGTTAGTACACGAGGCCCGTTCTTACAGTACTTATGCATCCACATGGCTTTGATTTCCTGTTCCACGCTGCATTGTTATGTTCTCCATTTGTGTTTGTTTCATGCGTCGCGCTCGCACGTAACCGAAACCTGTATCTGCTGTGAAACTGAATTTGAGTCAGTCAGGAGTCTGAAGGACGGCCGCGTGGGGAGGATGGGTGTTCGCTGATAACAGTGAAGGAGGCGGTGTCAACCACAGCGGTAGACATGATAGCAGGGTGTCATAGATTTGAAGGTGGATGGGTAGAAAAAGAATCTGGAGATGGATTTATGGAGCAGGACATCAGCTCCCCACACCTGTGTTCAAACACGAGCACGCAAAAGACAAAAGGTAGGAAGACACAGGGTTTATCCCACAGGTGGAAACGATGGTCTCTGCTCGCTGCAGCTCAGTTACTGCGACGTCTTGTTGGGGTTAAGCACGCCCACCTGCAGCATTGGAGGGTGTTAGTTACACAACACCTGTTTTCCTTTCTTTTAACCCCTTTCTGGTATCAGGGAGAACGCCTACATCCCTGTTACCATGGTTACCAAATGATATAATGCATAATTACACAGCAGATTGCTCCCTTGACGGTGAACTGGTTCCAAGTTCACTCGGAGGCTGAGAGCGATTGTGTAAAAAATAGAATCTGCCTAAAGTAGAACGATTTAGTCATATTTGCAGGGCTCTTCAGTTTAATGCACAGCAACAGCTCACTGCATGTGTGAAGGTCTGTTTGTTGAATGTTGTGTAGATTGTGCCGTTGACACTTGGTGCTTTTGATGGAAGATCAGAGCGTGAGAAAGTCAAGCACGTAATTACTTTATGCGGGTCACAAAGTCAAACGCAGTCGCGGCAGCTCAGCAGGTGTCAGCGCCGGCCAACCAGCTGATGGATCGCCCGATGCAGAGCCGGTCACATACAGCATGCACACGAGGGGTGGGCGATATACCCAATATATGCAGTAACGATATCTGTGAAGACAGAAAAAGCCTCTGTGTGCCTGCAGCTTGTGGCCGCAGCATTAAGTAAATGCAAAAACCAGATTTCCCAGTTAGCTGCTGTCACTGGTCACACACTCCCTGCCTGTGTGCAGCAGCAGTATAGTTTAACAGTGGCGCCACAGCAGTGACACAAGTACAAAGTGACTGCTGAACACTTTAGTTTAACAATAACTGAAGTCACTCAGCCCTGGAGTTCGTGTCACATTGTAAAGCTCATGTGGGAAGTTGTGTCTTTGTTAAATCTCGGGTCCAACTGCAGCTGTTTAAAGAACTGCTTTTCCATTACATGTAACTGCGCCATTAATTCCCATCCCTCGTTTCACTTCCTGTCATATGGAGTGCAGCTAGCGAGTGCAGCTAGCTGGCGCTCTAGTGACACTCTGAGGAGTCACTTGTTTGTGCGGCACATCAGCAGCTGCTGGGATCTCCTCCCGGTGAGTCTGCTTCTGCTCAGCTTCTTTCCACCTTCAGTACGAACAATATTTTGCAAATGAGGTTGTTGGAATGATTATCGGAGGCTGCGTGCAGCTCTGTCTTGCATTGGGGAATGTAAACACATGTAAACACATGCAAACACATGCGGTGACAGCTCTATGTGACATTTTCACATCATGTTCAAATGTATTCTCGTCATATTCCTCACGATATGATATAATGTTATATGATGGTCTGTCTCTACTTTCTGCAGTACAGTCCTGTTCAGCTGATGCTGACGAGGGTACCACAGTGTGTCCAGCACTGCTTTATTGCAGACAGAGGGGTCTGCACCTGTAGCAGCAGCTTCCCAGGCCTGATCGGCCTTCATTACTGCAGAACAGCTTACCTTACCTTTGTGAACTTCTGCCACTAACCTTTGTACCATTTCAAGCTGTTCATTGGACTAAATAACTGGGAGAATCGGGGTGTTATAAGAGCAGTAGTGTTTATGGCAGGGCTGGTAGGTCCATGGTCTTTCTGTATCTGTTTCCTTAATAAGTTTAATTTGAAATGTTTCTCCTCACATACAACGTCTTGAATAATCAGCCCATCTTATCTTACAGACCTCACAGTACCACATAAACCCAGCAGAGCACCTAACTCTCAGACTGGTTCCTGGGATATCTAAAAGTAGAAGGGAGGCAGAGTCTCCAGCTTTCAGGCCGCTCTTCTGTGAAATCCCAGCTTGGAGTCAGGAAACAGACAGCCTCTCTACTTTTAAGATTAAGCCTAAAACTTTCAGTGTAGATAAAACTTATAGTGTGGGTTGCATTAGGGTACCCTGCAATAGGCCTGCAGGCTGCTGGGGGCTTCCCATGTCACCAGTTTGCCCATCTGTATCTGGAAGTCCCGAAGGATCTCCCAACATCTAACCTGCAGTCCACTGACATCTCCTGTAGCGGTGCTATTTATCACGACTTCACTTTAAATAAATTGTGGGACTGAAATAAACACTGTTTGGACACAGACTGAAATTTAGGATGGTTACTGTTAACCTACTAATGTTACTATGAGGTATAACATGATGTTAGCTTAAGCATGAGAAAATATCAGGCTCATATTTTAGCCTGAGCTGCACTGCTTGACTTGGACCCTGGAGGAAAAGGTCCCTGCATATGTTACAGCTTATCACCTCAGAGTCTCCATTTTTCAGATTGAGACACAACAAAGACCTCAGAGCTTTAAGCGAACAGCCACGCTACATCCAAACCTGCGAGTGCCACATTGAGTGACACCTCTGTGCAGTTTTTAGCCAGAGCCCTAATCCGCTCGTGTGTGTTAAACCTGAGCAGCCAAATTGCATGGGTCTCTGTAAACAGTGAAGGGCAGGGGAGACACTTTATCCACAGTGACCTTGCTCTGTTGGAGCACTCTCAGGATCTGAAATGAATCACAACACAAAGCCCTTCACTTACAGACTGGGAATTGTAATATTGACCTAGCTCCACTTGACAATGCATAGCTTTCTGACTCTTTGATCTGGCAGCGAGTGTGTGTGTGTGTGTGTGTGTGTGTGTGTGTGTGTGTGTGTGTGTGTGTGTGTGTGTGTGTGTGTGTGTGTGTGTGTGTGTGGTGTGGTGTGTGTGTGTGTGTGTGTGTGTGGGTGTGTGTGTGTGTGTGTGTGTGTGTCTGGCCCGGGGAGGGGGGGGCTGAGCACATATTGACTCGCTCAGTTTTCAGAGCAAAGAGCTATGAGATAAATATTTGCAGACTCTCGAGAGTAACTGAAGAAGCTTGGATATAGTGGTGTATTTATAAATAGGCAGTCCCCTTCTTGCAGCAGACAGGTGTATTCTCTTATCTTATCACCCATTAGAATGCAGGGTACACATATTTGAATCCTGGTAATGTTATATGTACAAGATTGGATTTAGACCTGTAGATTCCACGTTTTCATCGAACACTGAGCACAAGATGAAGCGTCGCGTTGCTCTGTAACAGTTTATGCTTTGTTTTCCAGGGAGTGTGCAGATCTGGTATCACCTGCAGACAGGCAAGAAACCGGACGTCTTCACTCCCACCCCGAGTAATCTGGCAGACGGACGTCTTCATCGAATCAGAATCCACCGAGTCGGCAAAAACCTCTATGTACAGGTCAGTAACACTGGTACAGGAAGTCCTGCATAAGGACGTGCTGTCTCACAGAGACAGTTCCTGCTTCTAAAGCTTGGTGTGGAGTTTGGATGTTCTCCCTGTGCAGGCTCCCTGTGGCCACTCCAAAGACACGCATGTTGGATCAAGAGCTTAGACAGTGGCTGTGATGTATAAAGTGCTTGCAGTGTGTAAGCATGATGTGAGTATAGGGCTAAGTGTGATTCGTCTTAGGTGCGTTTGTAATCATTTCCTGTTCAGTCACATATCACAGTCTGTCTGCTAGGTAAAGGTAGAATGACTCATCATCCGAATCTGTTGTAGATTATCTGGGTTTTGTATATATTCTGACCTGTTTTCTACAATAAATTACTACATTTTGTGTTATTCAAAGTTAATGTAAGAATAAGATGCACAGCTGTATCCATGCTAGCTGCTCTGTTACATCAAGAGTAGCATCATCAAACAGCATTTAAGCTGCTGATGCTCTTCAGTATCACTTACCAAATTCAGCGTATCCTGACTTGGCTAAATGCACAGAGGGCAGGAAACCTCAGGCCTGCAGCAGGTTAGCTGATCACAGCTCCAGAAAGAAAACTAACATACTGGACCCACATAACCACTGCACTCAATCTTCTCCCAGTTTGACTCCTACGTGTGAGGAATGAGATACAATATTCTTTGGAAGAGTTTTTTGATAACACACATTAAATTTACCCGGGGAGGCCTTAAACCAGAGCAGGTGACCTGCCACCCATCAAATACAACATGGCCCAAAAATGAAAGAGACTAAACCTAACTGACTTCAAAGAGCAGCAACATCCACCATACACCATCTTTATGTGAACTCAACACTGTTTGTTTGCATCCAGCGGCAATTTATTTATACAGCACATTTCATTATGCAGTGTTGAAGATAACATAGAAGAAAAACACATGTAGTTTTGTCTTAAGGGGATTTAAAGACGTTAAAGACGTGCATGCGCACACATCCAGAGTTACTGAGTGTAGACCTGTGAGGACAGAAAGGGTTGAGGATGTTTTTGAATATATGTGATTTACAGGTCAGCAGGCAGCTCGTCCAGGAACAGGCCCTCAGCACACTTAGATCTACTGGGAACAGCTGATGACCTGAGAGTCTGACAACGATATATATCGGATGACGATATAAAAACATCTAACGTTTCATTTTACGCTGTCGTTGTTTCGTGGTGTCGCAAAATAAACTGTTTACAGCAATATTTTTTCATGGTTCTGATGTCACTGTAGTTATTATTAATTTCTTAAAGTTCTCTCTTTCTCTTATATTTAATATAACCACACTACAGACAGACAAGCGCCTGTTTTGTTAATGGGTTGTCGTTAGCAACAACGACGGTAACACCATCGCGTGTCCGCTTGTTTATGTTCCACATTAACCTTTCACAATAAAGCTCAAGATCCTGTTGAGACTTTTCAAAATAAACTGAATCACGTGAAAGATGCAGATTATTTACGGATGAGAAGTAAAAAAGAGCCGCCAGGTGCTAAAAAATAAACCTTAGACTCAAACGTTAGAACAGGCTGTTCCCCGCAGCACGCCGTGTAATAAATACAAAGAAAACGGCGCCGTTACAACTTCTGTCTAAAAATGTATCGTTTCATGCATCGGTTAAAACACTGGACTCCAGCTACATGACGCACAGCTGGAAACACTTCACGCAAGTCGAGCTGCCCGAGATTCACAGAACTTACAGAAAATGTTACATTTTTGTGATTTATATCGTTATCGGACGATACATGTTTTATATCGGGATATGAGATTCTGGTCATATCGCACAGCCCTGGGTCTGACTGCAGGTCCATAATGTGCTGAGGGGCCACATGGATTTTAAAGTTAACTCTCTGACTTCAGTATCTGGGTGATATGGTCGGGTTTCCTTGTATGAGCAAGAAAAGTTGTCTTCGTTGAGTAGAGTAACCTGCTTGGCATGAACACATTTCTAGGTCAGTTTGAAATTACATTTTCTAACTTTTGATATATTTGTATCGATTCCTGTGTTTAAGAGACAGGGACGGTAAATATGTGATCAACTATAATATCTAAAAGGTTTCTGGACCTCCAACAGTTAATGTTATTAATACAACTGATGAGTCTTTGAACAGAGGTTAGATTACCAGAGGAATATGATGTGTTTATTAACTGCCCAAGGATATAATATGAGTTCTGTATGATAGTGCTGTACCAAGCAGACACATAAAGTCATGGACCATGACTGACTGACTGACTGACTGACTGACTGAGGGGCCCTGATTGAATTTTTGTTTGTGCAAATCTAAAACTAATAATTGAAATATAAAAACTTCAGCTGTGAAGAGAACCAATCAATAACCAGACCTAATAAAACAATTGAACCATCAGGTCATCTTAGTGCATGCTCACTCATCCAGGTGAGGAACTCCTAAAAGGCTGATTCTGTTCATGTGGACGTGGCGTCTTCCTCCAGTCTCAGCTGACTGCAGCTTTCCAACCTTAGAAACAGGACATTTGTACAGTGACTGAAACCAGCAGCGCTGAGGGAACCATGGGCTGTGTCATTAATATACACTGATCAAAGCCCAATAATCATTGATCAGTGGCCACGTTTAGACCGTACACAAGACGTTGAGTATCTGCTGTTACAAACAACCCGCTCAGTGGAACAGTTCTGCAGGGCGGCGGTGCCCTTTTCCACTACAGACGGGTTTATGACCAGCAATATTTTTATGGTGTCGCAGATGAATACAACAAAATAAAACCAGTACCAAAAAACAGGAAGATTTATTCATAACACACGAGAAAAGACCCAGGGAAACCGAGTTAGCGATAAAAACGATTAAAAAACAAAACGATACAAACCCTGAAAACCATAATTTCTCACCCGAGCCTGAAGCCTCACGGCCCGGTACCAAACGACTGGTTTGGTTTCCTCTCAGTACGCCTTTCTGGTAATTCTAAATTGGTAATTGATGTGAGGTAGATAAAGTGTTGTGCGTATGTTGCAGGTATTTCCCTTCTTTGTTGCGTTGGCAGTTTTCACTTTACCATTGAACTCGTTCTTTTCTGCAATAAAAAGTCCACGCTGCAGGCTGCGTCACTGCTTTCCTGCTTGATTGTAGCTCAAGTGCAAGCAGCGAGATGGCGTGACAGGCAACCAGACGGACAGTCCCGAGGAATCGAATTAATGTTGCGTGGAACATTCCCATCCCAATTATCCTGCAGGATTTTCTGGTAGAGAGCAGAATTCATAGGTTGCATGATGGTGCTGGTCCTGGCTGGGACCTCAGGTTGAGTCTTAGTCAGGTTTTAAATAACGTTTTCACAGAGGACCAGGTAGGTGTGGATTTGAATGAAATCATCATTTAACTGTATTTACTCAGATGATCAAAGTTACTTGATGATCAGGAACATGTAAGTGTGACAAACATGCAAAAGAAAATTAAGAAATGAGGAAGTGTGCAACGATGTTTTTACAGCACTGTAGCTATTTGAGTGAAACAATGTGACTAACATGACAAGACAGCAGGATTCATCTAAAGAGGAAAGGTGTGCACATCGTGTGCATCTTTTCATTCAATAGGAAACTGAAACCCTTCACTTTTATTGCACTTCACCGTGTTAAGCGATTATTCCGAGTCAGCATGATGGCACAGAGGTACAAGGTCAAACTCACTTCAGAGCTACCTGTAGGGAGAGCTGCTTTCAGGTGAGGCTGCAGTGAACACACAGCTCGCTCTTACGCTGAGCTGCAGCTGCTGTTACCTTGCTTTGAATTTCGTGTAATCACCTTGTTATCTGATTTCTTTCTATCCAACCAGATCAACCAGGACATCCACAGAAAGTACACACTGTCATCTGACGCAGAGCTGATCCTCATACGATCGCTGACGTTAGGCAAAGTCACCAGTAAGTCTCTGCAATCAGTCCTTCTCATTCAGCTTTGACCGAACGAAGCCAGAAGCATTTCTCACTCCTCGGCTGTGTCTTTGTAGGAATGGAGAATTTTGATGAGGAAGTGATACAAGGAGCTTCTAAAGGTTTCATTGGCTGCCTCTCCTCAGTCCAGTTTAATCATGTCGCACCACTGAAGGTAGCGCTGACCAATCGCGGGAGCTCATTGGTCACCGTCCGTGGCCCGCTGGTCCAATCAAATTGTGGCGCGCTAGCCGAGTCACATACTCTGCAAGGTAAAACATCCACATCCATGACACTGATGATCTGTTTATTTAGACTCACAAACACACGAGCTGATTGTTTCTCTCTGTTAATGCTGAGTCTTTGAAGCACTTTGAGGAACTCGTTGCTGTGATTTGTTTCTATATAAATAAAACTGAACTAAAGTCATCTGAGAAATTTGGATAGAATGAAACCATCAGCTGTGCAATTCTTCATAAATGGAGTAAAAGTAAAAGGACCATCTATTGTCCTCGGTCTGGAGCTCAGAATCAAAATCTGAGACGTGAATCGTAGTGGATCAGCCCAAAATCACACAGCAGTAATGACCTAAAGCACGCTGAGTCACCACCGTTGGCAACACGACAGCGTCATGGATGGAAATCTTGCAGCCCCCACACAGTCCCCTTGCTCAAGAAGCCACAGCGTGACTTTGCCATCGAACATCTAGATGGTTCAGAGAAGGCTTGGATAAAAGTGTTGTGGTCACATGAAACCAAAGCTGAGCTACTGAAGAGTTTCTGTTTCAGTTTGTGATGGTTAGGATCATATTTCCATAACAGTGTGGTTAGCATTAGCATTGGATCTTATGTACACAGGCCAGAGCTCTCTGTAGGGTTTGTTATCTTAAGACCAGTATAGCAGCACTGGTTTCCATATTTGCTTTTTTCCTGTTGTATCGACACCGAGCTGGCTTTTTGCTGGCATTGCTCTGTGCGTCTTTCACAGCGATCACTTTTAAAGAAGATGACCCTGACCCGCATGTGAAATAGTTTCTCGTTTGCCTGAAGTCCAGACACAAAGACAGCTGTTCTCACTGGACTGGATGTGTTACAGAAACGTTGGCTGACGTCACAGCGGTGCAACAAGCCAAAGAGCTACAAACCAAACAGAACATGATCACAGTAAGACGCTCGCTAACTGGATTGTGTAAATCAGGACTTCCAGGGTTGTACTGCTGTTTAAAATCATTTTCAGAAGCAGAGACGTTTAAATAGACTGTTTGTCTTTGCCTCTCATGAACCAAATGTAATCATCATGTCATGGACGCCTCGTTGTAAAGGAGGAGGAGCCAGTCAGTAAAGAGAAGTTGACATGGTACGTATGAAAATGATGATGTTTCTCTTTGCTCTGCAGATCAGGCTGTAAATGCAAATAAAGACAAAGAGCAGCGTGCCGGCAGCACCCAGAAGGATTTGGCTGTAATAGCAGGTCTGTGCTGTGCTCCTGTTTTTCCTTTGCTTAATTGAAAATGAGTCCCAGCTGTTTGTCATTTGTCATTCTCTCCATTTGGCTCCGTCTTAATGCTTTTTCCTTATCTCTCGATAACTCGGCCCAGCTCGAGCTTATTGCCACGATCGTGTCTTAAGCCTTCTTTTTATTTGAAATGAAACTTGATGCTGTGATGTGTGTTTTCTGAACAAGCAAGCATTTAAATCTATATCTACATGTCCCCAGATATTACTTATAAAGCCTATCAGAGGCCCTATAACTGTGATCATCTTTAGTGTTCATTCTCTGACAGCTCTGTCATTTGCTTGTTTGCTTCATATGCATCTGTTCTGCTGTCTGTAAGGTAAATATGAAGACACAACACCGTCGAGCTCAACATAAAGGCTGGAATAAGGACAATTTCATTTAAATGTTGTTAATTAACCTGTTTTTGTGAAATCACAACCATCAAAGAGTGAAGGAAGCTGTCTCCCGCGGTGACCGTGAGACAGCTTCTTGGCTCAGACCAGTTTCCAGGCAACCATCAGGGACTCGGAGGTGTTACTGATCCCTCAGCTTCACCACAGACACCTGACAGGGTTGCAGTCTTTTCATCAGCCTCTTGACAAGAAGACAAATCAGTACATTTCTCAATAAAAGTCACATTATTCAATCACAGTCGGAGGATTAGTCAGCTCCAATCAATAAATGATACGATAGCTTTGATTGTTACAAACATCTATTTCATTCAACTTGTTTATTTCAGTTTAGCTCTTCGAAAATTTGACATCATCTCGTTGTTGTGGCTGCAGATTAAATTGTGATGCATCCTGTTTTCTTTAATTATCTTTGTAAATCATGTCTAATCAATGATGTTTGTCACAGGAGGACGGCAGTCTCGTTTGATTCTCCTTTCAAAGGCACAAAGGGGATGCTAATACTGAAGGCTGCTTACTTTGAGTTAAAATCCATCCATTTAAAATTTCACTCACACAATGTGTGCAGGAGTGTTCAAATCTCTTCATGACAAACTCATTGTCAGACCAGGTGGACTCCGTTTCAGGGAAAGTAGATTAGATTAGCTTCTTCATCGTCGTTCGTAAAATTTGTCTGGATCATTTTTACCAAACTTGCTGAGAAATAAAGAGATAATTGCTTTGGTCAGAAGTCTCCGTCCACTCATCCGGGGGGTGAATGTCGTTGTAATTTGATGCTTTATTTTTTCCATAGGTGACATGATTATATAGGTTTGACTGTTTTTTTCGGGGGGGGGCAGCACGGTGGCACGGTGGTTAGCACTGTTGCCTCACAGCAAGAAGGTCCTGAGTTCAATTCCACCATCAGGCCGGGGTCTTTCTGTGTGGAGTTTGCATGTTCTCCCCGTGTTTGCGTGGGTTCTCTCCGGGTACTCCGGCTTCCTCCCACCGTCCAAAGACATGCAGCTTGTGGGGATAGGTTAATTGGATAATACAAATTGCCACTAGGTGTGAATGTGAGTGTGAATGGTTGTCTGTCCCAATGTGCCCTGCGACAGACTGGCGACCTGTCCAGGGTGTACCCTGCTTTTCGCCCTATGACAGCTGGGATAGGCTCCAGCGCCCCCCGCGACCCTGAAAAGGATAAGCGGAAGCGAATGGATGGATGTTTTTTTCGGGGGGGGGCTCTTATGCACACAGTCTGTATATGCAGACTACACATACAGGCTCAAATATGTACATATATGCGTTTGGACGGTAGCGTTAGCTTAGGTTAACCATGTATCAGCATCACGCTGACAGTTGGTACAGTGCCATTGCGTATGAAAATGATCATCTTCATCGTGTGGGCAGCTGTAAATCCCAGTCAGATTCAGAGTTGTTGGTGTTGGAGCTTCTCTCTCTGTCAGCCCCCTCTTGGTCCGTCGCAGTGTAAAACCCCACTGTGGACAGGGATGTTGTTCCAGCAGTCCTCGGTTGTCCTCGAATATTCTAACCAGTGTGTCTCCTCCCAGACCCGTGGGGACGCATCCAAATAAGTTGTACTTGTGTGAAGTCGTTTTAACTAATGATGCTGGAAGTCCTGAAGAAACAGCCTTTGTCCTGATGTATTCACTCAGTTACCTTTGGGATCAATCCAAAGTCAAACTAGTCCTTTTTATGCTGCCATGATAAACAGATAAACTACCAGCTGTACGATAGTCGGTCGAGATCACTAACGAGTCGTTAGCCTTCACACACTGGAAGCTTCACTTATTCACATATTAGAGTGTACGCAGACTCCTGTGTAGAGAACATCTTGTGCTCTCATTAAACGTTGATGCTGTTCAGGTATCCTTGAGAGGAACTGTTCAAAGAAATCATTCGATCAGAGACCAAGCGTGCAGTAATCCCAGCTTTAAGGTGGCCGCGCTGTGTCCACATGTGTGCAGGGCTAAACATACTGCTAACACTCCTACACTACTTAAACCTGAGGCCACCAACACCGCCATCATCTAACCTGCCTTCCCTGCGTCGTTTCCAGGTGTGGTCACTGCAGTGGTCTTCATAACCGTGTGCGCACTGGCTGTGGTGATCCGCCTGGTGTACCAGCAGCGGCGGGCCCAGAGGAGCAGCGGCAGCATCAAAGAGGAGCACAGACACAGCATGTACACAGACTACAGGACTGAGCTGCACCTCCACAACCCAGTCAGAGACAGCGTGAAGGAATACTACATCTGACTGCAGCGTGCAGCCGATGTCACAAACTTACCTCTTTCTTCTAAAGGACTCACAGGTGGACGTGCTGCCGCAGGATTTCTTACAACACTGCATATCTCCGCCCTGGAAGTTCCCCAGGGACTCTGCAAAAGTCAGCAGACTCCACTCTCAATGCTCCTGTAAAAGCAAGCGGCTGAATCTTTGCAGCTCGTAGTGTATTTGATGTTGGTGAAATTGTCAGAATCAAGCTGCCGTGGTTTCCGTCATTGCGAAATGTGTAAAGCAAAAGTCGATCGTTCCCAGGGGTGAACGCGGGGGCGTGGACGAGCGCGGCGAGCGCAGAAGCCGCCGACCGTCCTGAATGTGCACAACAATATTTCCACATTTCTGTGGGACTCACTAAATTGTATTTGTTAGTCAGGAAATGTAGGCAAGGCCTGTAAGATATGCATCCATCCGCTGCTCTCTATTTGTGTTTCCACTGGGGGTGAATGTCGCAGCAAAGGGACAACACTGCCGACACTGTGTGAGTGCCTGATTTGCATATCTGTTTGGATTTGAGTTCTTGGTGTGACCCTCACAGACGCAGGCACATGTCCCCACAAAAGAGCTTATTGTCATTCGCTGAAGAAAATGGGAATTTCATAGAATTTCATCGTCTCTAGAGCGCAGCCGTTGGCGAGGGGTGACCATCGCTAACATTTCTTTCAACAGGCTGTTTACCACGGCGCGGTTGATAGCAGCGTGCAAACTGACAGATGGAACAGGCCCATAGATTCTTTGTTGATGTGCAGCGAGGGCCTCATTTATCAACGTCTGCAGGAAGAAAATAATAATAATGACGACCATGATAATAAAAACTGATAGCGTGGCCACAGCACAGTGTTCAGCACATCATGAAGTTACCCTCAGCACTTAGACGGGGGTCCACACACCCACATATTTGAGGTTTCTGGGTGGGAGAAGTGACCACAATAACCCCTGTTTGTGTTGTCATCATTCCCAGATTCATGTCACAAAGGTGTGACCAGCGTGTGAGGCTGCCGTGCTCACAGACGACCTCACACAGACGTGTCACATATGATAGCCCAGCAATCAGTCACACTGTAAAGCCCTGTTTTATTCTCTGTTTGACTCAACGAGGACCAGCCCCTGCTGGCCAACGGGACCAGTGAACATCTCGTCACAGTCTTTTCTATAAACCTGGCCACAGCATGGCCACACCAAGTGTTATGTGGATAAATGAACATCGGTGGAATTTGAATCTGACGTCGCTACTTTCATGTGACAACAACAAAACGTACAAACGTGATATTAACGAGGAGAAAAATGTCAGCTGATAAATGAGGCCCTGACTCAGTAAGTGTCAACAGCGAGTGTTGCAGGTGTTTCTGTTCATAATGAAGGAGATGCAATATGTAAAAAAGGTGTGAATTGTGTCATAAAGTAGCAGAAATAAGAAAATAACTGAGAGAAATGTATTATTTATAGCAGTTATTTATGCCAAGACTAAAGGGTGTAATCATCAAGCAGAGGGTCCACGTGAAACACCACAGGCAGCCAGAAGCAGCAGTTACAGCCTCCAACCCTGCAGCTTGTGTTCAGTAACATACAGACAGCAGTTTGCTTCATACGACAGGTTTTGGGTTCACAGAAGTCACAGTAACGAGGTTAGAATCACAGCAGCACGTTTGCGAGGTTTCGTGGAGGAGAACGTCCGAATTTTGCTGGCAAATGTCTGGGAACTGTTTCATAGAGCATTCGCTTGTGGAGCACCAAAGCCGTAGAGCAGAAGTTTAATCTGGCTTGTATTTTAGAGCACTAACCGGCGGTGCTTAGAGCTTTTTGCATAAAAGAAGACGGCCAATATCATACCGGATGGAATGAATTTATTTTCAGATTTAGTGGGAGTGCAGTGGTTTCTGTCTCAAATGGACGTGACGAAAGCAAATTAAAGGACGGATGGAAATGGAGACTACTTTGCTTTTTTAGATCCTTGCTTCTAGTGGGCACGAAGGTGATGCCAGAGAAAACAAATTACGTTGTCTAAATTTCAAAAGCAGCCTTTTGAGCCCAGTTCTGCATTATCATACTGATCTCATTATCCTGGGCTCAGCTGCTCTCTGGCTGCATTCCTGTCTTTGTCACCATCAGTTATGCTTTGAACTTAACGGGCTAAACGTAAAGGTTAAGTCCAAAGAAAAGCTGACAGAAACACGGCCATTTATTTAGCATCTTGTCATGAACTCAAGTGTTCATTCTCCTGGGATCTGAATGTCAGAATAAAATGTTTAAAAAACAAAGCAGTGAGATTTCCCTCACGTAGAAATGTTTGGACCGGTGCACTGATGCGTACAAAGACTGGAGCTCCAGCTGAGGAAGGACAGCGGTGTGGCTGAGCCCGTGTACCCTCTCTGTGCATGTCCTCCAAATACGCCTGAAGATGATCCCCATATTTGTGAATGAATACATACCTCTGAGAGTTTCAGTTACACTGCAATGGGTAATATCATGTGCTCACTTCTTAATGATTTGTATAGCTGCGGTTTTATTAAGAATCTATTGTATAGATGTATAATTTAATAATAAAAGTCAATATATTGCTACTTTTTGTTGTAAAATGGCTTCACTTCTATACAAATACAGACCATTTACTTCTGAACCTTAAAGGTGCATCTGCATTAAGCTGATATCCCCAGAGGATCAAACAGGGCTGGGCAGCACTAACACTGTGCAGTCAGTCTTTACTGCTACAGACTCACTCATGAAGTGGCCTGGATAAATGCCTGTTAAGTGGGATGAAGCACACATCTGGACATCTGAAGTGTTTCAGTGACAGAAGCCAACGTTAACGTGCGGTTACACTGTAACCTTGGTTCTCTGAGTGAGAGTCTCGATGTGATGGAGAACAGGCTTTTTGTTTGATCATTGAGCTGTTTATGCGTCTGTACCTTTGACCTGTCTTTTTTCCTAACAAGGACAAAGTTCAGTCACAGTTTTCGTATTGATCAAGATGAGCGACGGATTACAGGCAGGATGTCCAGCATCAATCTCTGTCTGTGCCCGACCACGCGGGGTCGATTCATCTCTCAGTGTGAAGAAAGATCAGGTCTGAACAGAGGAACAGAAAAACTCTCCGATCAAAGCTGAGTTGTCACTGTAGTGTTTGTTTGTTTTATGGAAATGTCTAATGACAGTTATTGATTGTTACAGCTGGAAGAACGTTCTCATGCTGCTGTGGTTTTCTCGTATAACTCAGACGAGGACTCTGGGAGAGCTTTGATTATCTCAGCATTCTCAGCTTCAAGGAAGAGCTTTACCAGTTTTGCAGTGATGTTCAGGAAGGAACAGTAAGCTGGAGATTTTCAGAAACAGTGAGTACATACAAACTCACTAAAGTGGTAGTTGGATCAGTTCTGTCCACAGGATGTGAGAAGGATGAAAGCTTTCAGTCACTCTGTTTAGCAATGAACTGGCACCGGTGTTCAACACAGGCGTTCCTTATCTCTCAATTTTGTCTTATTAGCATTTTGAAGTTTATGAAGTGTATTTATATGTTTGGACACTGGCAACAACAGTGTAACATTTCAGTAATGTTGAAACAAATAGCTGTTGGAAGACTGATAACCAATTAGGTCAATTAGTCACAAGCTTGTGTAGAAAAGAGCAGAAAGTCTTTCCGACATGAGGATGGAGGTGCGGCCCTGCATCAGCAGCACAGATGGCTACAATCTTCAGACCTCGAGGGAGCACTACAGAGGGACTATACTGGATTTCTTATTTCAGAAAAACCATAGCAAATGACATTGTGTACTGCTTTCCAGACCTGTGGCACACTGAAAAAAATGGGTGTATTACGAACAACAAATGAGGCTGCGAACTGCAGCTGAACTCTGATGTCAGGCATCAGTGGGAAACCACTGGATGCTCAAAAGTACAGCAGTCTGTTTTCTCAGTTCTCACATACTTGGACTGATGTTGAAGAGGTGATGCAACACAGTGTGAAGCGTGGCCCTGCTCCTGCCATCAAATTAAAAATGAGCATTTATCATTCTGCACAGTTACATGTTAGAAAACAAATAGAAGTGCACGATGTATCACCGACTGCTGCGCCTGGAGAACAAGAAATAAGAAAATACACAGATACATGAATCAACAGTCTTCTTACAGTGTGCATGAGTGCCTGTGTCTTTGTCACATATGTATTTGATAATGATGGTGGGAAGCTGCAGCGATGCCGCCCAGAGGCCTGGAGGCAGACAGACATGGGACCAGGACCATCCGAAGGCCCAAAGAGGGCCGAAGGGTGGAAGGCAAAGGTGAGAGTCCCAGAGGACCAGAGACAAGGGCCAGCTGACCCTGCTAGAGGCCGCCCCCCCCCTGGTACAAGTCGTTGACAGGGCCCCAGAAGCCCAGGACTACCTGGCACCCAGCAGAGTTTGTACTTTATTAAAATGTAAGATATAAATGTCTGTAACTATATTTTAGACATACAAATAACTTTTGAAGCGGGGCAGTATTTTTGGAGAATATTCACAGAAGGCATCCTCAGAGGCATCCTCACCTCTATACTGAAAACGGGCGCTAAAAAGCAGTGAGTCCGCTCAATAACTCCTGGAGGCTGGTGTTCACTTAGTTGGCACCTGGTAAAAACGGCACACGGGATCAGGATAGGAGCTGCATTTGTTTCCTCTCGTCATTGGAATTTTATACGACTAAGTTTGCAAATGTCTGGAGTTTTATTCACAATTATACACAAACAGTAATAAAGATTTACTGCAATGGTCAGTATAATTGGAGCAGTACACAAAATACATTCCCTCTACTAACGTATACCATTAGTGTAAGTGGCAATTACAACAAAACAACTGACGAGTGAAGCAACTAAACTTATGCAAATAAATTTATGCTTATCGATTCAAAACTGCTGCTAAAAATATTTAATATAAAGTGTTTGGTATAAGTTGTTCCTGCTACTCCACGCACTCGTGTCGTGTGCACAGGCAAAAGCAACTTACAAGAGTACAAAAGTGTTCATAGCAAGAAATAGGAAAGTGTCTACATTGCTGTGCTCCCCAGTATTTTTGATAATTGCTGTGCAAAGTTTAGATCAATAAGATCTTCAGGCAGCTCAGGGAGAAGAAAACAGGAAGAAATAGATCCAAGGGATGAAACACGGGGCTGCAATTATTAATGAAACACTCTTGGAGCAATTCTCACATGAAGGATTTCTATATGTACAGTGTTCTAATAAAGAAAAGTTTAATAATAATAAAATGTGCCATCCTGGTGTTTTCACAGTTTAGTGTTCCTTTGTGCAAAAGAAACAGTGTGGTGAATACCCACACCTCTGTGACTTCCCCTGACACTGTGGGTGTGTCGACACTTGCAAGTTAGCCGCTAGCATGCTCATTAGCAGCTCACTCTTTCTCCAACGATCTATATGTGCCAAAGTTTTGTGCAAAAAATGGGAAACTATAAGAATATTGATGTTCTCAGCACATAAAGATCCCACAGCTCGCAGGGACGTAGAACCATCAGTAAATTGAGAGCTTCACTTTTACACTCAGCTCTATCTTCACCACAACAGACCAGCATCACTGCGGCCGCTGCAACAATCCGTCTGACGATCTCCCGTCACTCGTGAACAAGACCCCGAGATACTTAAACTCCTCCCCTCAGGGCAGGGTCTCGTCCCCGGCGCTCTACTCTTTTCATGGCCTTAGATTTGGAGGCGCTGATTCTCATTCCTGCTGCTTCACACTCGGCTGCGAACCATTTCAGTGCAAGAGGCCATCACCCGATGAAGCCACCACAACCACATCATCTGCGAAAATCAGAGATGAGATCCTGAGACCACCGAAGTGAAGAACTTGGCTCCGCCTAGAAATTCTGTCCATAAAGATTACGAACAGAACCGGAGACAAAGGGCAGCCCAGGCGGAGCCCATCACCCAAACGAGTCCGACTTATTGCAGGCAATGCGAACCAAGCTCTTACAACAGCTGTGTAAGGATCAAATGGCCTGTAGCAATGAGCCAGACACCCCATACTCCCAAAGCACCTCCCATAGCACACTCTGAGGGACACGGTCGAGCTCCTTCTTCAAGTCCACAAAGCACATGTAGACTGGTTGGGCAAACTCCCATGCACCCTCAAATATCATTGAGTGGGTAAAGAGCTGGTCCAGTGTTCCACAACCAGGACGAAAACTGCATTGTTCCTCCTGTATCCAAGGTTTGACTAATGGATGAACTTTCTTTTCCAACACCCTGGCATAGACTTTCCCAGCAAAGCTGAGTGTGTGTGATCCTCCTATAGTTGAAACACAACCTTCTTAAAGATGGGAACCACCACCCTGGTCTGCAAATCCAGAGGTACCGCCCATGATCTTCACGCAGCATTGTAGAGGATTGTCAACCAAGACAGCCCTATAACATTCAGAGCCTTCAGGAATTCAGGGCGAACCTCATGCCTCAGGGGCCCTGCCACCAAGGAGTTATTTAACTGCCTCAGTGACCTCACCTGCGGAGAAAGAACCCTTGTCCCCAGAGTCTGCTTCCTCCACGGAAGACATGCCAGTGGGATAAAGAAGATCCTCGAAGTATTCCAGCCGCCCGACAATGTTCTCAGTTGAAGTCAGCAGCGCTCCACCCTCACTATACACAGTGCAGGTAGAGCACCACTTTCCCCTCCTGAGTCGCCTGGCCATTTGCCATAATCTCTTTGAGGCCATCCGCATGTCTTTTTCCAAGGCATCTCCGAACTCCTCCCACACCCAAATTTTTGCTTCAGCTACTGCCCAAGCCATGTTCCGCTTGGCCTGTTGGTACCTATCAGCTGCCTCCGAAGTCCCACGGGCTAACCAAGCCCAGTAGGACGTCCTAGTGCCATATATACTTATAGACACCCTTAAGTTCAGACATGGTGTTCATTATTGACAAACAACAACAAAATGCTGCTCGGGTTCAGATCTCACTGTTGTTGCCCACATGAACGTTGAAGTCTCCCAGTAGTACAACAAAGTCCACAGGTGGAGCATCCTTGAGCACGCTGCCCAGGGACTTCAAGAAGGCTGGGTGCTCTGAACCGTCGTCCAGCACATAAGCACAGACGACAGTCAGGACCCATTCTCCGACCCGAAGGTGCAGGAAACAAACCCTCTCGTCCACCAAGAGAAACACCATAGTACAGGCAGCAAGCCGAAGGGGATACTAGGATACTCACCCAGCATCTCTCATGACTGAGACAGAGTCCAGCCCTTCTCCAGGAGACTAGTTCCAAGCCGTGCGTTGAGGTGAGCCTGACTATACCTAGCCAGTACCGCTCAACCTTACGCACTAACTCAGGCTCCTTCCCCACCAGTGACATTCTCCTAATTGCTAGTCTTGGTAGCCAGGGATCGGTCCGCCAGGGCCTTCACTTATTGAACCTGACCTTCCTGTGGGTGGTGGGCCTACAGGAGGATGGGCCCGTGTCCCTCTCAGGCTGTGGCCAGTCGGGCCCCATGTACTAATGCATGACCCAGTTTGCCAGTTTGCCATTGGAGACCCTAATAGGAGGCAAAGCCTCCCGACAACATAGCCTCTAGAATCCCTGGGACACGC